GAAACCCCAGTGAGAAGCAGGACTAGCTCTCTCTGTGCAACCTCCCCTGCTCTGCAGGTGCCATTCTGTCCCACATATGTGGGAGGCTTCAGTCTCTAGAGCCACACCTGGGAACTGGCCAGTGGGCCAGCTTCTCCATGTCAAGAAAGGGCACTGAAAAATTTTCATAGCCTCAGGGGTTCTCAGAGGGCTTTCCCACTTAGCCACAGGAACTTGAAGGAGGTCAGCATTCCCTCTAGCCTCTTTGTCACCCACTGCCTTCCAGATTTAAGGACACTGAGGTCCAAGGGCCAGGGGCCTGGAGCTGGGGGACTGCCCAGTATGCCTTTGAAGAATTTCAAGGGTTTATCCAAGCTTCTTTAGGGAATACCCCACCAGTGTGGCCTGGATCACTTTCTTCACTTGTCTAAAACAGTGGGTGTGGTGGGTTTCAGGCCTCCTCAGAGTGATTAATGATAATTGCTGAGTAAACACTGGCAGATCCATTGACCTGCTTCAGGCCTATCACAGCCAGCTGGTGAGGGACAGAGGCGGGTAGGGGTTTACTCATGCCAATGCAGGATCTCTGCCCAACAGTTCTTCCAGAAGGATCCTGCCTTCTGATATCAAGTTAGTGCAGCCTCCAGCAGAGCTCTGGACCCTGCTGCAGACCTCACTGGCCAGCTGGTTACCAGGTGAAGAACGTGAGCCACTGTACCCAGGATAGGCATGAGGGAATCTGGGGGGTTTGATAGGGCTGGAGGCCCTAGAAACTGATGCTTTACACCAGGGGAGAATACAGGTTACAAAATCCTTTTTTTAAATGGTGGTTTCGAAAATGTAAACCCCAAGGCATAGAGAAACAAAACAGCGGAAAGTTGTACACTCAATGTTAATAGTAGTTAATTCTATGATTGGATAAAATTTTTCTTTTTCTTTCTGCATTCACCGGAGTTCCAACAACTGTCATGTATAACTTACAATCAGAGGAAATAGATGCTACTTAAGATCAAATGAAATGGCTGGAAGGATTTTCCTTGTGCTCTAAGGAAAAAAAAAAAAAACCCAGTGTCAGCTCCGAGGGGGAAGGTTAGACCTGGCTTAGCCTCCAGCTCCTGATCTCACTCTGTGGTCCCTCTGCCAAAACAACTAGCGTCTTTATCTGCACTTGGGCATCACGTTTGTCTTCAGATGCAGGTGCACAGGGTGCTTAGCAGAACAATGTTTCTTTCATTCTGGAATAAGGGTGAGGTATAAGGAGCAGGCACCAAAGGAAGGAGTCCATTCAGGGTGCTGGGGCGCCAAGCTCCCCAGCTGGGAGTCTGCTCTTCCTCTTGCTGTGTTTTTCTGCCACCAGTCCATCCTGCCACCCACCTTCCATTACTCTAATGGAAGCCAATCTTCCTCAGTTCAGTCCCATTACCACCCACGGAGAGAAGTGGGCTGTGATTCTGGATGCTGCTGGGAGACTGCTGGCCAGCTCCAGGGTCATTCATTGTTCCAAATGTCGCTGGGCCTGCAGCTGCAATGACAAGCTCCTTCAGTTCCCAGAGCACAGTCCTGTCATCAGGGCAATCGGCAAGAAGTGGGTAGCATCAGGTCCCCAACTGGGAGTGGGAGAAGAGGGAGACCCTGACAAGTAGCTGCTGCCCGCTGGCCAGCCACATGGAATTGGAGTAGTTGGGGACCTCCTTTAGCTCCCCAAGATCCCACCTGAGAGTTAACTTCCCTGGCACACAGGCACAGGCTGTTTTCTGGGCTGTGTGGGAGCTAATCTCATTGGAGTCTACTGTAATACTACCTAGTCATCTTACCTCAGGACCCTCTACCAGCACACAACTGCTCCTTTGTACCAGGTTCCCTGGTGCCCACCCTTGGCATCCACTTCAGAGATGGCAAAGCTTGCTCCTTTCCAGGTTTTCCCACTACAGCAAGTGTCACTTGCTGGCAGACTCCTGGCTTAGAGAGAATAACTCCTGACATACCTACCACATGCTTCTCTGAAGGTCTGGGGAAGCAGTCCTCTCTCCCTATAACTGAGGCTTCTCTGCCTCTTTGGGCTCCAATGGGGATCCCCCCAGATCCCTGTGACTTTCTGGGAGACAGCAGTTCCGTCTGGCCAGAGGGTTGGCCTCAGGCTAACAGAGTTGAGCAGATTCAGAAATTGTTCCTGTGTCTACCAGGGGATGATCCCAGGGTCTAAGGAACAGGTACCTGAGCCAGGCCTGCAGAGTGGAGTGGGGCAGGGAAGAAAATGACACTGTACAAACTTTCGCTAACGTTGACCTCAGCTGGACAGCAGAAAAGGAAGAGGAGTTCCCAGGACTGACAAAGATCTCATGGACTGTCACTCAAAGTTTCCTATAGAGGCCAGTTGGTTTATCCCCAGAAGTCCCCTGAGGAAGCCATGACGGGGCTGGAGACTGGCAGAGCTGGTGAGAGATGAGGCTGGTCATGGGGAGGAGTTCAGGGGTAGTCCAGAGGGCTCTGGGGCCCACTCACTCTGAGCTAGTCCTTCAGCCTGGTCTCTGACCTTGACACAGTGTTCTTGATGAATCCCCAGTAAGTTCATTTACACTGTCTGGAGGAGGGATGGGACAAAGGGCTGTGAAGGGGTCAGTGACAGGGTCAGGAGCAAAGATGCTGGGAGTCTGGTGGGGGGAAAAGTTCTCTTAGGTTGGAGTTCCCCAGAAACGAACAATAGGCAGACAAACTGACATATGCATTGTTGATCAGTCTGGAAAATATCCAGGAACCTCCTCCCAGAGGAGCCAGGAAATTGACATCAGACAGACAGACAGACAGATAAAAACAGGCTCTAGACTACAAACCAGACAGACGGAGAGACAGACAGGATGATTGGGAATAGCTGGGAACTGGTGACAGGTGGTTGACATGGGATGACTGGCCTACCCCATGCAGAAAGGTCTGCAGTGGGCAAGGCCTAAGGGGCTCTCCTAGAACATTCCAGAGCATCTCCTATCTCCTGCCCTGCCTGTCCAGCACCTCTGAACCAATGCCTAGACCTTCAGAAGAGGTGCAGCAAACTTTTTGAGAACTAAGAGAAGGGATTTCCCAGCATCTACTCCAAGCCTTGAAAACAACCCTCATCTTTTGTAGACCTAGACCAGTTAGGGGCGGCACTGACCTACGTTCCTGGTCCTGCTGTGGGTATTGGCTCCAGTAAGCCATGCAGAACATGGCAGAGCATGAAGTGGGAGAGAAGCAGGGGTTGAATGTGCTCCAGCCCGGGCCTGAGCTTCCCTCACAAAGAAGCCATGTGCTTACACAGTATCAACACAGTGTTCACTGAGTTGAGTTGACTGCTGGGGTGGGAGGCCCACTGCTCCTCCTCTATGAAAGAAGGCCATTTTTAGGAAAGAGACAGGGCTGTAAGGTTAAACAGTGCCAGTTCAGAGGAAGGAGACAGTGCCCTCTGCCTCATCCTCCCTTTGGGAGGATCTCCCAGAGGTCCATTCCTCTCTCCTTTCCTGTCTCTCCCACTGCTGCATCTCCTACTGTGTTTCCTCCTTCTCGTTTCCTGATGAGCTGTTTTCACTTTGCTGCTATCATAATGCCCTACTAGATGGGGCGGGAAGCTTCTCAAGCGTCCAAGTGAGAGCCTTATGTGTCTTATACCCCTGGGCTTGGCCCTAAACTTGGCATAAGACCACCCAAAGCGGGCACACTTGGTCCTTCCCTTTCGTCTTCCCTCCTCCCATCTGACCAGGTTCAGGGAACTCCCACCCCTCCCTAAGCTTTGGATTTAAGGACCCTGATGGTGTGCCCCTCAGGTGTGTTCCATAGTCTCTGCCACAGAATCCTGCCTTTTTCTCTAACCTCCCCAGTGACCTCCTCTTAAAGACACCGAGCAGCAATACCTTCCAGAGAGCACTTTTCTGTATCCAAAGCCACTTCAAACAACTAGCTGTTTTCCAAGGACTAAAAGGGGAAATGAGTACAGACTCGTGGAATCTCAAATGTTAAATGCTGAATCCTGGGAGTTCAAGCCCAGGTGCTGGTATTTACTGTTTGACTGTATGACTGTAGACTAGAATGCAAATCTTCTGACCTCACCCTCCTCTCACCCATAGTGGGGTGGATCACCTGCCTGCTCTGATATCACTGAACAACCCAGAAGTCAGAGACATTCCATGAAAATGCCACTTTCTAGACAGACTAACCCCAACTATACAGATGAGGAAACTGAAGGCCAGAGGTGCTATATAACTGGCTCCAAATAATTCCTACATTGGGAGACTAAAGATGGGGGCGCAGAATATATAAGTTACATGAAGAAAAGAGAAACGTGAGAGGCAAAGGCAACAGAAACCAAGAGAAGATCAAAGACGGAGGGCGGGGACTGGGACATGGGCAAAGAGGAGGGAAGGGAAAAGCTCAAGGGGGAGAGAAGCACAGAGGGAGCACAGTGACAGCTTGGTGAGAAAGACCATGAGGCAAGGAGATGGGAGGCAAGAGGGAGCATGACCAGCCCAGAGAGAATGGGGACAGCCCAGGGCAGTGACACCAAGCCCTGCTGTGCCACCACTGCCCTTTGTCTGCAGGTTGTCAGTCAGCTCAGTGACAGTTGAGAAATCCTTAAAATTAAAGTCGGTCTCCTTGGCCCCTTTTATGGAAGGAGAAAGATTAGAAAGAAAACTGAATCTGCCTTAAAAAAGGCCAGGCAGTGCATGGACTGAGCGTCCTCAGTCCAGCCACTCCTCCATAAGGAATACACACAGGTGAAGTCAAATTCATCCCTTTTCTTGTTCCCCAAATTCATATTTTATACGAGCAGTTCAGAAGGGAGGAGCACGGCTGGGGATTAGATCAACAGGGTATAATGACTTTGAAAGGTTGTAATGGCTTACCTGGGTCCAGAGGAAGGAAAGAGGAATGGAAGGATGAGGAAGGAGAGAAAAGCAAACAGACCACACACGACTAAAAGGAGGCAGAAGCAGCTGGATGCTCAGAGAGAAAGGAGACAGTGGGCGGGGAAGGGAGGAAAGGCCAGCTCGCACCTTTGGGAGGCCAGGTCGGAGCAAGCAGGCTTCTGCTCAGCGTCGGCAGCAGGGCAGCAGAATTGGTGCAGCACAGTCTCATTCCTGCAGGTAGAGAGGAGGGAGAAGGTCAGAACGCGAGGCAGGCTGAGCCCTGCTCCGGAGAGGCTTAGGCATTTGTTTCAAACCTGGCTGCCCTTTTCCCACAGAGCCCCAGTGTAATACCCACGGGGTCAAACACTGATCTGGGGAAATTCACCGCACAGATTTTCTATCCAGCCAAGGTTTTTTAATTCCTCATGGACCAATTCAAACACCCAAAGCCTCCCTGGTCACCCACACTTGTCCTGTGGTGTGCATTCCTGCAGGAGGTTCTACCCACTGTTCACCGCCCTTTTCTCGAGCTGTCTTTTATCCTACTTAGTTCTTTAGGACCCTGTTCCTCAAAGGTCTTGGAAGGCGGAGCTTGGTCTATTTAACTACAGGGTAGACTTGGGTGCAGTCAACATTTTTTTTCTTTTTAAAAAAATATTTTTATTGAGCATTTGTGCATTTCATACAATAGTTCTTAAACAAATTTAGACCCCCTCCCCCATCCATACTCCCACATACACCCCCCCATCTTGACCAGACTTCATGCATTCCATCATTCATGTTAAGTCCTATCTGGTCAAGCATTTGTACCAGATGTTCTTAGGTGCAAGTTCATCTACTGGAGTCTAGTTAGTCTATCTAGAGATCTTAAGGAAGATCTATTTTCCCTCGCCCAGCACTGATCAGTCGCTAACAGTTCCCAGGCTGAGGCCAACCCTCTACCCTGTTCTCTTGCTTCACTGTGGGTCCTTGTCTGATTGAGTTGGCATGGGTCTTATGCAGGATGCCACCAGCAGACATTTGTAAAGACTATCATACGCAGAGCCTTGGATCTGAGCATTCTAACAGAGCCTGCAGTGTTGCCTCCTGAATATTTAAGGTGTGCTGCTTGGTGGGAATGTCTGATGGAGATGAGAAAGTGGAAACACACTCTAGCCAGAATGCTGTGGCTGGCCAGATGCATTTATGCTTCAGTGTTTTGGGGTCTCTGTTTATTTACTGTATTGAAACAGCTCCTGCTTTACTGAGATCAGAAGTGGTTCTCAAGCCTGCTACACATTATAACAACCACATCTTTAAATATACCAGTGCTTGGGCCCTACACCCCAGGGACTCTGAGTCATGTGGTCTGGCAGGGGTCCAAGCACCAGGGCTCTATAAATTCCCAGATGATTCTCCAGGCTGACAAGTTTCCTTTCTCACTGAAAGACTGTGATTTTGATATCTGCTTTGAGCCAACTTGGATCTAATACTGAAATCCTAAGTGGTCTCAGTCCTGGACATCATGGTCAGAGAATGCCAGATCTACAAGGGCCCCAGAGGTCATGAAGAGCTTTGCAGAGGCCCAGGGCACCCTGTCTAAAGCTTTACCTGAAGCCTATTTTATATATA